TAAGCCTTGTAAGGCTATAAATTTCAGCTTGTTGAACGTGAGATCATTAAACAACAAAGCCGCCCTAGTCAATGATTATGTTGTGGAAAATAAGATTGATATTTTGACTCTGACTGAGACATGGCTTCTACCTGGAGTTTCTGATAGTATGATCATTAGTGAAGCAACTCCGAGAGGATATGAGTTCAGACATGTACTAAGAGGCAAGTATTCACGTGGTGGTGGCGTTGGCATCATAGTGAAAGCAACATTAAAACCAAAATTGATGAAAGTGAAGGTGTTCAAATCATTTGAATACATGGATCTATCATTGAGAACTGTAAACAAAGTGCTACATGTCATCGTAGTCTACCGTCCTCCACCATCGAAGACTAACAAATTGACTTGTAATGACTTTTTCAGTGAATTTACAACCCTACTGGAACATCTTACGCCTGCTCAGGGTTGTACAGAGTTTTTAATAGCTGGTGACTTTAACTTTCACGTTGACGATAAATATGACTTGAATGCCAAGAGGTTTCTTCAGATCCTGCACTCATTTGATCTTACTCAGCATGTTGTCATGGCTACACACAAGAAACATCACACCCTTGACCTGATCATCACAAAATCTGGTGATAAACTCGTGAGTAAAATATTGGTTTCTGATCCTCAGTTTTCTGACCACTATGCTGTAAACTGCAAGCTCATGATCGCCAAACCATCTTATCAGAAGAAGTCAATAACATTTCGCAATCACAAGAAAATTGACATAGTCCAATTTAAAAGTGACATCACCAACTCTGGATTACTGGAAAAGTCGCAAGTGTCCAATTTATCTGTTTCTGAAATTGTTGAAAACTACGAGAAAACACTCCAATTCTTGACAAGCATTCTCCAGTTAGATCTAAAGTCATCATTTTACGCCCTGCTGCTCCGTGGCTAACACCTGACATCCGTAAGCAAAAGGTAGAACGTCGCCGCTTAGAGAGGAAATGGAGATCAACTGGGTTATCTGTTCACAGAGAGATGTATGCTAAGCAATCTGTATTGGTAAACAACCTTATATCTGATGCAAAGAAGGAATACTACTCTGATCTCATAGCATCATGTGGATCTGATCAGCATCAATTATTCAAGATTGTTGATTCTCTCAATAAAGGAAACTCTGAGAAACAATTTCCAACTACCAGCTCAGCCGAGATACTCTTGCTAATAATTTTGCTAATTTCTTCCAATCCAAGATACATGTAATCAGACAAGGCCTTTCACAACTGAGTACCAAGGTGACTAATCCGTTACCGGATACGTTTCTAGCTCAAAGTAAGACTGAACACTCTGGACGCCTTCACACCTGTTACAAGTGAGGAACTTTCCTCATTGATAAAGAGGATATCTACCAAGTCATGCAGACTAGACCCACTCTTATCAAATATACTTAAAGAATGTTTCCTGCTTGTACTTCCAGTTATAACAGAGATTGTGAATGTGTCATTAGAAAGTGCTACAGTACCAGATTGCCTGAAGTGTGCGTCTCTTCAGCCTCGTCTCAAAAAACCATCTTTGGACCCACGCGAGTATAATAACTTTCGCCCAGTTTCTAACCTCAAACTTGTCAGTAAAGCAATTGAAAAGGTGGTTGCAATTCAAACTAATCGACATGTATTGGACAATGACTTGGATGATCTTTACCAATCTGCCTATAAAGCACATCACAGTACAGAGACAGCATTGATTAAAGTGCGATCCTTAAAGCTCTTGATAGTCAGAAATGTGTTATTCTTCTGCTATTAGATCTGTCAGCTGCATTCGACACCGTAGATCACCACATCTTGCTGGAACGTCTAAAAACAAGGTTTGGCACTGATCGCTGGAAAAGCACTCAACTGGTTTAAATCTTACCTCTCTGATAGAACATTGACAATCAACGTCCCCAATGGTGAATCAACAGTACGACCTCTTCCCTTTGGGGTCCCACAAGGGAGTGTACTTGGACCTGTACTATTTTCTATGTACATTTCGCCTCTAGGAGACCTCATTAGGCGTCATGATTTGGAGTATCATCTCTATGCTGATGACACTCAACTGTACATCACCTTTAAAGTCAACTGTGCAGAAGAAATGAATGTGGCAAGATCTAGGATAGAGACGTGTGTACGAGATGTCGATGCATGGATGACTTGGAACAACCTCAAGCTTAATACAGACAAAACAGAATTGTTACTATTGAATGCACGCCATCGTCCTCAACCACCTCTGAAATCGCTGTCAGTATGTGGTGATGTAATCCACACAGCAGCTGAAGTTCGTAACATTGGAGCACTGATGGATTCAACTTTGTGT